CTTCATCCCAATAGCCCCGAATGTCTCAATATAACATTAACTCAAGTAGAATATTTCATCTAAATAGCTTCAACTCAAGTTGTTCCAAATCTCATCATCTACTTTAGATTTAGGTAAGACTTGGTATGATCTATTTTCAGGCACAATTTCTCTTTTGTGGACCTATGAAATCAGAAAACAAATAATGGGTTGTCAAAATATAGTGACACAGAAAGCATAGTATGAGTTATAGACATTCCAACTCCAAAAGGAAAAAAAGAAAAGAAAGTGCAAGGTAGAAAGGAGTCACTGATTTCAAGCAATATTAACCATGAACTTGATCACATCTACAGATGGGTTCCAGGGACTAGGTGCTGATATCTTTGGAAGGGCCACTACAGATGATTTCATAAAAAATAACATCTTAAGTAACTTATATAAATATAGAAAATCTAAATAGATCATAGAAATAAAAAAAATAAAATGTTAACAGGCAAAAATGATACCTTATGTAAATAGTACATTCAGGTAAAGATTGTCAACCAGATCAAAGATTATTTTATTACAGGTGGAATAAAATTATAGAACCATAATCTTTTATCTAAAAACATAGAATTCAGTCTAATAATGCTTAGGAGGCCAAAGTTTTCATAGTGTATTTGGGAAAAAATATAACCTGAACTGACATGCTCTCTGTAGTATTACAAAGTATTGTGTTTATAGTGTAGCTGTAATTACAGTTAGTACTATTTTGCAGTATTAATTTATCCTTCCTTGAGTCAATATATATATGTACTAGTGCAGATATATTTATGAGAAGTTTAATCACAGTGTGCTATTCCTGACCCTTCTGAGTTTGTTACATAATTTATCATATATGAACAGTATAATCTTTTAAAAATCCACAATATTTTGTATACCAAAACACAACTTTCTCCATGTATTTCATCTTAAGGTTTATAGAATTTATTTAGTTTACTGTCTCAACATAGCAATGAGAAAATAATATGAATTTAAAAACCATACATATATTTCAATAATAATAACAGTTAACATTTATTTCCTTGTTTTCTATATGGCAGACAGAGTTCTAATTATCTTCCAGGTATTAGAACATCAGATCTTCATAGCAAAGTGAGTATTATTAACATCTCATTTTAAGATAGGAAAATGGAAATATTAGAAATCTAAGCAAGCTCTTCAAAGTTAAATATCCAGTAAATTTTAGAGCTTGGTATTAAACGCAGTTTAATATGCAGACATAAAATTGATAAAGACATAAAATTGCACATGTTCACATAAGAAAAAATAAGAATGGACAAAAGCAAATGAAAATCTGGTGGTTATTTTATACCTTTGTCAAGACTCATTGAGTTGCACACTTAAAAATTAGTGATTTTTTTGTATGCAACATACCTCAAAAAAAGGAAAAAGTAATCCCTGAAACTCTTTACAAAATATTTAATATTTTAAAAATATTTAATAAATGGAACACATAAATATTCAATAAATGGAGCATCAAAAACTTGAGCTTTTGAAATTTTTTATCAAATTGCAATTATTGAAGAAAAAAGCTTGCACATATATAGTATGCAAGATGTAATATATTGAATTCTACGATTATTGCATTTTGGGATAACTCTTTTGATGACATTTATTTTTAATTGGCTCCATTTATATTCCATTCTGAAATGGAATGAAATCAAGAAGGCATTTAATATGGTGCAATGGTCAAATAATCAAAAATAAAAACAACTCATTTGACAAGTCTGTAAAAATCATTTGTGAGAGAAAGATTATTTAAATGGATTAAAAGTGATAGTACCTATGACAGTATTTGGGCAGATACAGTTTACATTTTAATTAAAACATTTGATACTGTCCTCTTCTTAGCAGAATTTCCTACAGACTCATATATCTCAGCACTTACAGAATATTCTCTCAATTTAAGAAATAATCAAGGTTTTCAAATGAACATCCTAAATGCATCTTTGGAGACAGAGAAATTTAATTTTTTTTTAATAAGTGTAGACAGAAAAGAAAACAAAAAAAACACACCTTGGAAAAATATTAGTGAAAGTGTATCTGAGACAGATATGGCTAAGAAGTTGATTCTTTGATTACTATACCTGTATATATTGATATATACACATCAATATATCAAGAAAAATTACTGATTACTTTTTTTTACTGTTTGAGTAACACAATTTTAAATTTATTTTGCTTTAATAAAATTGATATATTTTATCTTTACTTCTTAGATATGATTTTTAAAAATTCATTTAAAATAAAACTACTCAGAGTTTCAGGAAATAAAGTCAATTTGAGTTGGTAAATACATTTTCAAAATTATATAATTTAACTGTATTTTAGCATCCCCTTTTGCCTTCAAGAAAATTCAGACATTTCAATAAGATATATGAATACCCCAATTATGCAGAGCACTGTTCTAATTGCTCTTCAAAGTAATCTCATTAAATCTCCACCAAAATACTTTAAAGAGGTATCAGTGTCCTCTTTTTAAGGTAAGGAATCTGTGATTGTCAGTGAATAAATACTTTCAAGTTGCAAGGCTTTAAAGTGAAAAATCTGTCTGAATTCAGAGTTTTTCCATTCTAGTAAGTGGAAGAGATGCTGATTCATTTCTGTTCCCTAATGTATGGAGACAGAAAGGGTAAAATGTATTTTTTAAATGCCATTTTTGCTTTTTCTTATTTGGTCTCTCTTTAGAGAATCCCAAATATCCCTGAAAGATGGCAGCGGGATGAGTTTGAAGGTTTTGGCAATACTCTTTTAAGCCCCTTGGGGTCGTGCCAAAGGGACAGGGTCCCATGTGAATTTGGTCTGAATTCTCATCCAAATGAACACCTGCTGTCATTGTTCCTTATCAATCCTGTAGTTAGCAATGCCAGCTCTCCCTTTGTTGATGGAACCCATTCAACACAAGGAAAAGGCCTGCCAGTGTTCCATGCTAGTTTTTACTTTCCCCTCTTTTTACTAAATGATCCTGTGCCCAAGAATCTTGAAGGTAGCTTATATGAATTTTATCTTTTTCTATGTTATGTTCTCTGTTTCTAGGAGTTTACCCAAATAGTCTAGTTTTCTTAAGCAGTCTCTTGGTATTTCTCTCTCCTCTTCTCCCCTTTCCTCCATTCTTCTGTCCTCTCTCCCTTTCTCTGTTCTGGTTTTCTTGCTTTGGAAAAGAAGAAATTTGTTATTGCAAAAATATGCATTTGTAAAGAAAACTATACTACACCTGTTTTTAAAAGTCTGTGTTTCCCTAAATTAACAGGAACAAATAATTCAAGCAGAAGTAAATTTAATGATATTCTCTCTATGGGTAGCCAGTGTTGATTATTTTTACACTTAAATCATATTCTTTTGCTTTTGTTTAACTGGTCCGCTGCATGTATGCATTTAATTAGAAGATATTCCAGATTGCTTTTGTATCAGATTAGGAATAAAGTAAAAATAGATGCTTTTAAAAAATTAATTATTGGTTATGGCACACATATACCATAAATAGCCCAGTTTAGTTTTATTCTATAATTTTGCCCCATAGTAAGACAGTCTCATATTTGAAATTTTTATGTTTATAACTTATTAGTGAGAATTTTTTTTTAAAGAAACTCTGTGACTAGATTTTTAAGTTACTGAACTGAGAAAAGTGAACCATCTTGGTATTTGTACTCCCTAGCAAACCAGGAAGTTGCATGTATAGATAATAAAATTATATCTTAGAATATCAAACTACAGAGAATATTTTTGTAACCTTTGATATAAGTGATGCTTCTATACACATCTAGCTGTATCTGTGTGTCCTTTCCATTTGAAGATTAATTTAATTGCTTGAGAAGTATTAGGGTATCAAATGTTTACACAGAACAACATTTCAGTGATCTTTATCCTGCAACTCTCTGCCATCTGCAGTGGGTATTGGTCCCTCTTTCCTTGTGCCTTGTGCTTTGTTATGCGTGAGTAAGCACATTAGCCTTTTCATTTCATTCATTCGACTCTTCATCCTTGATTAGTGTTTTCAAGATTCTCTCAAATACACAACTTCTTTATTTCCTTTATGTTTGGTTTTCTTTTTCTTTTATCTCCATGATGAAACAAAATTAACAGTGAAATACAACAATATCCCTTTTCTACTGAGATATATTAGTTTCTCATTTGAGTGATTAATCATGTGTGTGTGAAGAATAAGAAAATATCTCCACACTTGGAATCACAGGGTTGACTATTTAGAGTCACAGTAGTCTTGCTTGAAATGCATAGATCACAATATTCCAACAATCTCACACATTCAGTATGATTTCTGTTTCATAAAATATCTCTGGATTCCCTAAAAGTAAGAAACTTCAATAGGACTCAGAACTGGTCACCCCTCATTTGGTTCTCAAAACTGAATTATACTTGTCACCAATTCTCAAAAAATATTTTTTTATTTTTGCTGGGTTTTGCAAGCTAAGATGTGTCAGAAAGTTGCCTGTGTTCAAAAAGCTATTAATTACACATCCAGAGCACACTCTGAAGTCAAGTATTACACTTACGTTTACTAGACATGCATCCTCACACTGTCTTTTCATCCATAGTTAATCTCAAGGAATGAGGGGCTTCTCTGCTCGATCATTTCTCCACTTAGACCATCCTTCATACTCTTGTTTAACAATATTTTCAATTACTATTTGACATTTAGGCTTATATGTGATACCTTAAACATTGAGCATGGAGCCAAAACAAGTTATTAAAGGATATGTACAAATTAAATAGTAATAAATTCTTAGATGTAAATGTGACAAATAAACAACCTTGAAATGATTACATAAATTATGCTTGCAGAAAGTGTATATAAATCACACCTTTTTTGCCTCATTTCAGAACATCACCTTGGCAATAATGTTGTAAAGAAGAAGTTGATTTGAATATATTATTTGTGCTTTTTCTATTTTAATCTATATTTCCACAAGATAATAGAATCATAAATGGTTCTGGATTTTGTTTTCTGTTTTTCTCCTTAGGATGCCTCCATTGCACACAGATTCCACATCATGAGGGAAAAACACCCAGAGAAATTCAACAGTAGGTAAGTGACTCATCATGAAATTATAAATATGGTTGCTGAATTATGTAATGAAAAGATTATTCTGTGGCATAAAGCATTTTATATACAGTGACCAAATAAGGCTTGTGTATGTGTACAATATTAAGATACAACTATAAATAAGTTGAATTTTTTCTCTTAGGTTTTAATGGTACTATAATGGGGAATTCAATGTGGTCATCTTTGTTCCATTCTTGTGTGTTGTGAAGGAAAGATTTCAAGTACAAGGTGAAAATAATGGTTTATTAAGACACATTGTAAGTCTTTGCATGACAGTCTGTGAACAGGGATCCTCTCCAAACCCAAGGAAAAACCACAGGGTTCTGATTTGATAATGCCGGCAACTGTTTATTACCTGGGTATCACAGACGTCCTCTAATTTTTGGACTGTCAGTCCCAAGTTGGCCTCAATGAAATGCAAAGTAAACTAGAATCATAACAGTACCCATGTAAACTGTTTTAGAGAGATTTTCTTCAAGAAAAGTGCCTTCACAAACAAAATTACTTTTCTCATAATAGCCATCGGCAAATACTTTTACTCCAAAATGTAAACAATGACCTTCGTTGTTTCTCAGGGAAATAGGGAAATATTTGGTTCGGTTTCTTCCCCATTTTTAGAAGGAAATATGACTCTCTCTACCCTACTGCCCTAGAAAAATGGAGCAGAAGAAGCAAATCATCTTTTGCCTCCATATACTCATTTCTACTCTATTAATTTCAAAAAGTTGCAAAATCAAAATCAACATTCTGGACAGATATTTAAGTGACTTCCTATATTAATATTCAGAGCCAAAGTCTCCATAGTCTCTATATTTAGCTAAGCTCACATGTTGCCATTAGTGCTACAGACCATTTATTTGATAACTGCCTCTGAATTTCTTACGTTTATTTAATTTTGTCACGCATGAGTACATTGATATAATTTTCTTCCATGTAAGTTCATAAGAAATAAATGCTGTTAAAAATGAATTTTCAAAGTAGTTTCAGATTTTTCTCAACTATAGACTTGAGTGAACTACTTCATCCAAGAATCATCACAGTAAATAGTTTCATGATTAATGAGGTCCTCTATGATTTTTCATTAAACGTACCTATTAAAATATTCTAGTCAAACAAAAACTTGTTTCTAATACCTGTGTCAGGTTTTGCCTTTAGTTGTTTCTTACCCTACAAATCATGTATCATGACCTTATGGTCTACTTTTTTCTCATAGGTCATAAAGCTATTATTTTTATTTAAAGAAAATTGAAAAACCGTATACATGGTTATTTGTGCACATATCTTAAGATGGGGTCACACAAATTTTGCAATTCTGGCTACTTCTGGAAGGAGAACAAAGTAGTTGTGGTGATAACTGAGTTTTTCTGGGGTTTTTTTGGTGCTGTTTGAATTTTGCTCTAGGTGTATTACAAAATTAAATCAAAAGTAATTTAATAAAAGTTTGCACTTGGTTTTCTTTGTACCTCTAAGGAAGAGACATTTTTATTTTATAAGATTTAGTTTATGAAATATATACATATATATAAATTGAAATAACAATGAGATTATATTCACTGTGTAGATTTCAGCACTTGAGGATACACCCTGAATATCCTGGAAACAAATATAGCTATTAATGTACACAAAAACATATTATAAAATAGGTGGGCTATGCTTTCCCAAATGTCATTCTAATGAGCATTTGTGAGTTTATAGATATATTAAAAGAGATTTCAAGCAAATAAAAAAAGCTGTGTTTGGAAAATATAGTATGCAGTGTACTCCTTCAGGAGTTTAATGATATAAAAGTCCATTAGAGGCTTTAAGAAATACACAGAGAAAACAAAAAGTTTAGCAATCTATTAGGTATTACTGTCTTAAACTTATTCAGGAAAGAGAGACAGAGAGAAAACAATAGAAAAAGAGGGAGAGAGACAGGGATAGAGTAGGGAATAAAGAGGTACATCAATATATTTATGTGATGATAAAATTTGACAACATATATGTAAGAATGTCAATATTTATAATCCTCTCTCAAGTGTCAGAGGCTAATGAATTCCTTTCTGCAGAATAAGTTTGATTCTACTTAATAATAAATGCTTCTATTATTTACATATCTTTTTAATTTTTTATTATCAATAGCATTATTAATTTATGACATTCCTCACTGCCCAGTACGTGACTAGATGCCATTTACAACACTGTTTGTATGCTGCAATGTTTTTAAAAGATGTAAAACTACACCTTATTGAAACTTCTTCATACATGTTAGGCATGACTATGTCTTGCTTATAAATCGGTTACAGGGACAACTTCTCTGGAGACGATAACATAGAAAATGCCTTCTAAAATGATACAAAGTAAAAAGTTTCTAGGTATGTTTAAAGAGTGTTGGGTATATAGTAGATGTTCAATGTATTATTGGTCAACTATTTTTAAAGATGACAGTCAGCAGCAAAATTCCATATATTACCAATTCTATTAGGCATGTACATTTTAATCTATACCTTTGTAGATTAAGTCTTCATTGATAGTTCCAAGCATTTAGATAATTCACTGAACTATAATGTAACATATTCAGAATATGAACATTTTCTAATACATTTCTATAAGGAAGACATGTTGTACACAAGTGATTTCATATTTACAAGGGCAGATTTTTCAGATTTCAACATTGAGACAGGTTCAGCCATAGCACACTTTCATATTTTCAGGAATTTGCAAATGGATTTTTTTAAGTACTCCTAATAATGGTATTTCAGATCAGATTTCATGTCACAATAAATCATATGCCATTAATATTATCTTCTAGCATGCTCACCTTGAAATTCATTTATATTTTAAAGAACATGATGTTTCTAACATTATCTTAAGGAAATTAATTACCAAAATATATAGTTCTAATCTCTGTGCTTCTTATGACAGAAATTGAAAGAACTGAGAAAGGTAATGATTTTTCCGGTGCTTAAGAGAGTGCTGGTTGAAAGGTTTATATTGTATTCTTCCCAAATTTCTATGTAAATCTAAGTTAACTGTTAAAAGGAAGCATGCTGTATAACTTTCCAAAATTTAAAATATTCGCCCATAAAACTAAATTTAAATAGAGACTTTCAAGTTTTTAGACTCAGAGGCAAAAATAATCTTTAAAGTATTTATACTACTATGATTTAAAACTATTTATTACATGATATTGGTATTTAAAATATTTATATAAATTGACCATTATTATTTTTAATCATAAATACACTCTTATTCACTTACATTACATTTACCATAGTTCTATCTAGATAGATGTTTTTAGTACTTGCTTTTTTAAAAAATTGATACTAATATTTGTTTATCAGCACACTAGAATAAGCAGCCATTAGAATTATAAAGGCTTATAATAACTTTAGTAAAAATGCAAAAACATGTGGAATTCCCTGGTAAAACTATGCAACATTGACAAGGACTTGCAAATAACATGCAAAAGCGAACTAGCTATAGGAAAAGTGCTGCTGGTCTTACAAAGCTTTTTAAAAGTTGTAGTCATAGCATATTTTCAATTCAAATTCTTAATGTGTAACAACTAAAACTGTACTAGAATAACCAAATGAAATCAACTAGCAAGCACTAATGGCAATTGATTGCAATAATACTTTTTAAGTCTACAGGACATTTAAAAGTATCTAGTTTCTAAGTTTCTGAATGAATCAAAGGTAGTTTTTCAGCCCCATGGGCAGAGATATGTAGTTCATTTCTTTTTTTTTTTTTTTTTTTGGAGTCTCAGTCGCCCAGACTGGAGTGCAGTGGCCGCTCCCGGCCACCGCAGCCTCGCCTGCTGGGCTCCGGCGATCCTTCCGCCTCAGCCTTCCGAGTAGCCGGAATTACAGGCATGCGCTACCACGCCCAGCTGATTTTTTGATTTATTGTAGAGATGAGGTCTCGCTGCCCAGGCGGGTCTCGAACCCGCGGGCTCAGGCAATCCACTCACCTCAGCCTCCCAAAGGCGCGGGATTACAGGCTGAGCCACCGAGCCCGGCTAAGTTCATTTCTATACTACTTTCTGCTTTTTCTTTTTGGGGCTTTAGTACCTACACAGTGTGTGGAACAGAATGAGCACTCAATAGATGTCTATTCATTAAATTATTTATTATTTGTATTATACTTATCTTCTGTATCTTTTACTACTTTTATAGTTCAGATATCAATCTTTATATGCTTTTCATAGTGCAAAAAATGTAATAGGAAAAAATAGAGTTGTGATATGCTGGAAATGAGTCTATAAACATAAATATTTCTTCAGATATTAATACTTTTTAGTTTTCTCAGCCTTCTTGTGTTTAACCTCCAAGAATCAGCAATGCAATATAAACAGAAATTCTTCAACACAAATTTCTAAGCATTGTATCTTGTGTATAAATAATGCATACTCATAGATTAGTTTCACACTTTTTAGTATCAACTTCATAGGTCGGCAACATGTAATTATCCACCAGTTGTTAATATTTACTTTGTGATTGTATTTAACTGAGAATTAAATATCATATATGTATATATATGCACACAAATTTATTTTGTAAGTTTCATAACCTGTGATATTAAGATATATTCTAAAATCAATAAAATTCAATTTTGTATAAATGATATCAATCTGAAGAGATTTTACTGAAGCAAATATTTCATTTACTCATAAATTATTCTTGCTGATTTTACAATCAAAATTTTATACCTGTATTTTTACAATTTTTAAATTGAGTGTGCATGTACATCCCTTTTCTTAACATGGAAATTATAGTGTTCTGTATATTCCATACTTTATTATATATGGAACATTATAGTTTCCAAGATAAAAAAAAAAAATCGGCTGGGCATGGTAGTGCATGCCTGTAATTCCGGTTACCCAGAAGGCTGAGGCTGAAGGATCACTGGAGCCCAGCAGGCGAGGCTGTGGTGGCAGGGAGTGGCCACTGCACTCCAGTCTGGGCGATCGAGTGAGACTCCAACTCCAAAAAAAAAAAAAA